TTTTCTGATGTTTCTTCTTCTTCTTCTCCTCCTCCTCCTTCTCCTCCTGCCATTTTTTAAATGGATTCAGCTTCTTCATTTTAGGGCCTAAGGTCCTGAAATTTGGTATGGAGGTACAGTGGGCAAATACCCCTAGGTCGTTTTTTAAATTTTTGTGATACAAGCTTTTACAATCGTTTTATTTGCTTTTTTAGCGGTCCCCATAGGAAAGTACTGTGCGGGGGCGTACGCGCGTGACGTAATAAGAAAGAAATTCGGCGGCATGCCCATATATGGGCATGCAAGCATGAACCTGACGCAGCCTAATCTTTTCTTCTTGCTGATTGGCTGTTGGATTTGATTGGATTAACTCAATTAACACCTGTTCAAAGCCATTCCATTTTGACAGTATGAACTCAAGTGTTTTGGTAGGTACAGCACAGGACACGAAATACGCATCAATTTTCGAGGGACGTTCTGCGGGAGAGTGCAGGACGCTGTGCGGGACTTCCCTCGGGAGAGTGCGGGACGTCCTCCGGGAGAGTGCGATACGTTCTGTCGGGAGAGTGCGGTACGTCAGCGGGAGAGTGCGGTACGTTCTGCGGGAGCCAGACATTTTGCTCTTCTCTGTTAGAACAACGCAAGTTGGAGGTCAATGACCTGCGCCCGGCGTGTAAACAAGATTGGACAGGGAGCGGCTGTAATATCAAAGGAGCCGGCGGCTTCTGCTAGCCGGGTTGATAGTTAAGTAACATCAAGGTGGTTCAAAAGCAAACCTGATAAAGAAGGAAACCCCGTAGTTAATAGTTGAAAGTCTTGGTGGCTTTAGGCGATCGATACCGCCATGCTGTTTACTTTTTATGACATACAATGCAGTGAGTGATGTGTATCGCACCGAGTTAGCTCGGTTGGAAACGCGCAAGGCGGCAATCCCAGGCATTGCAAGTTCGAACCCCAGTGCATCGGACATAAATATTTTTAGCAATTTAACATTTTTAACAATTTTATAATTTTTAACAATTTTATCAGTTTTAACGATTTTAACAATTCTGCATTTTAACAATTACAACATTTTTTTTATTTTCGTTTGTTTTGCTTTTAACTATTCAAAAACTAGATTGTTCTTACTCAAGAATGTCAATAACTTAGAATGTTAGTCTTTTGTATTTTTCCAACATACAAACTAAAATCACTTTGATGTTGTCACAAAAGTATTGAGCTGACAAGAGAGAAGGAGTGCGGTACTCTGCCAGTGTGAAGAATCTACAGAGTTATTACCAGTCACTAGTAGCAAGAGATAGACCACATTGACTGATGACGATGAGGACGAATCATATGAAGTACTATCATAGCTAGTACAGAAATTCTACTGCTTTACTTTACTTTCTTTCACTCTGTACATGCAATTAGCTCACTGGCATGATTTTAAAAATAAAGGTTATGATAATCATATTATATGTATAGCTTATTCAATGTATGGCTTCATAGTTTATGTGATTGTTAATAACACCTGCACAGAGCATTTCCATACTGACAGTATGTCTTTATTCAAGTGTTTTGGTAGGTATTTCAAGCTTTTCTGCTCCAGCATTGGAATGCGGGGCATGAACGTTTTTTTTTATTTTGAAAATCAACAGTTTGCATTATGCAATTAAAAATCCTAACCAATAAAGTAGGGAATAGACTATCCAACTGTTGTTTTAGTTGTATGTTACTTCATATTATAGTTATATCAATGTAAATCATTGTTTTCCCTTGTGTTTCTCATTCTTTCCCTGCCATGTCGTAAAATGTGGTGAACCCATCGCTGTATTTGCTCCAAAGCAAATATTGGCCTTTCTAGTTTGTCTTTTGTTGACCCTGTAGAACGCCGTTCCTTTTTCCTCAACAGGTTGCTGTTTGTGTTTTCTTGCTGGAGGTTGACTGCCGTGTGTTTTGGTGAAAATACTCTGCGGTGAGTGGTTTCAAACTATCAATAATGTCATAGTTAAGGTGAAATGCCCCCCACCCCCTAACCCTTCCCTGAATACCAAAGTATTGATCGTATGGATCCTTAGGGCATTCGATTGTGGCCCGCATGCATACCTTTCCAGCTGCAGCGGCGCACAGTGACTGCCATGGGGCGGGCGATAGCTTCTGTCATGACAACTGTACGGTCAGCTTTCTTTATTACTAGAATTATATAACATCTGTGTCCATAATATCACCAGGGTCCATAATATCGCCACCTTGAGAAATAGTGTGCTTAAAGATATTTTTACTGCAACATACCCTAGGTATGTACATTTGAGGAGTGCATACCAAAAGTATGTTGCAGTAAAAATATCTTTAAGCACACTATTTCTCAAGGTGGCAATATTATGGACCCTGGTGATATTATGGACACAGTTATATGTAATTAAACTTACGACAAAGTTCGGCAGTCCTCCATGAAAACGACGGCACGCCTGCTGCCACACAAGCATCGGCATAAGCCTCCAGGTTCTCGCACAGACCGGTGATGTCTCCGTTCCGAGCGCACATGTCGAACACACACGCCGAGACGTAAGACTGGTGCTCCACCTTACCATGACAAACAGCGAACGGGCTGTCGGTGTCTTCGAGCCGCGCGCACATGTCGGGCGCCTCGGCAGCTGCCTGCACGGCGCTGTCACAGCTGGGGTTCTCCCCGGTCGGGCCGATGACACCATCCGGACAACTGTAACAGATTTACTCACGTCAGGGGTATACAGTTCAATTTTTACAGAATACAGTACAATGGTATTAGTATACAGTGTAATTTTATGTACAACTGTAACAGCTTTACTCACGGTTTACTACTTCAGGGTATACTTCAGGGTGACAGAGTATACAGTCCACTTTTACGGAATACAGTACAATCGTTTTAGTATACAGTGCAATTTTACGGAATACAGTGCAATCGCATTAGTATACAGTGCAATCTTACTAGTATTCAGTGCAATTTTACTAGTATAAAGTGCGATTTTACTAGTATACAGTGCAATTTTACTAGCACAGTTGCACCGCGATTGCACTGTACTCCGTAAAATCGCACTGTATACTAATACGATTGCACTGTATTCCGTAAAATTGTACTGTGTACACTAATACCAATGTAAAGTATTCTGCAAAATAGCACTGTATACTCTGGCACGCCTGTACCTTATAGTTGCAAAAGTACAAGTTAAAGTAGCCCAATTATCCTTGTGGTTGTAGAAGCAGCGGGTTAATGAACCACTGTGTGGATCTTATATGGCAGAGTATTTGAGGCAAAGCCAATCTCTCTTGTTCAAACTCCCCAACCGAAGACAGGTACCCATAAAATTTAGGATGAGTTGATAAAAACCATGTAAAATGCCTTTTAAAATGACAAGGCTAGCCATAAAATCTGTGTCCGCTAGCTTAGTCACTCGGCATATATACAACATTGCCTGATATGAATTTTTGCAGTTAATGGGTCTTGAAAAATTGAACTTTAGATAGAAGACAAAATATTTTTAAGTGGGTAAAGAAGAAGACGAGGTACATTTTACTGTAGATTGGCCTTTATATTATAAAGCGAAAGTAAATGCTCCCTTTTCCGGCATTACTTAGAGAAACTTATATTCCTTGCAGCCCTCGATGAATCAACTCCAACTGATCATACAATCACCTTCATTTATACAATTACCAAAATGCTAGAGAAACTGCAACTGAAAGTATACTAGATGTTTGTGTATACATTTATATACATTGTGTAAGACTGACTTGTGCTTAGCCCTGACTTGGGCAAAAATGCACAATAAATGTCTTTATTAATTCATTCCTCATCTGGAAACGCATACCTTGATACATCTGTGATCCAGCTCTGTCCGAATGTGTTCCAATCGGTCTCGATTGTTCCAGATGGCGTCATGAAGTCGTCACTGGGGTCGTCGTTGTAGTTCCCACACAGACCGCCCACCTGGTTTTTGTAGTTGGATGGAACCACGACCTATACCAGGGCGTTGTATATGGTAACGTTAATGAGGAACACTTTACATGTAGATCTATGTAGATGCTTTATAATGGCGCCTCATGAGTGGGGCCTTCTAGTATGTTATAGTATATGTGCCCATGGCCAGTTTAAAAAAAAAATAGAATTTTTCTCTGGTCAGGGCACGCAATGTGTCAATAATTAGAATTAGATTTCCTAGTGGCTTATTATGGTACTGCAACGGGACCTCCAGTTTTAATATCTCGCGATTTTGATATGCTAGGGTCACAAATTTTAGGTGGTAGATAACCTTAGAGGTCTAGAAGAGGTTTCATTTGATACATCATTTAATAAAGAATAAACATAAAGAATGGCAGCATGCAAGGTGATTGTGCGTACCTTGCCAAAGTGGTACCCATCGTAGGAGACCTCGACGCCAAGTTCCGTCTGAATCTTCACGAACCTTCCGCTTAACTGGACCTGCATCCTGCCGTCAGCTAGGCTGAATGGCAGCGACGAGACCTCCCCGCCAACCTGTGACAAACACAAGGGAATGTTTCTGTTTAGAGCAATACTCTGATTTGATAAACACAATATTTAACCTGGAAGACGCTGTTGAGACATCAAGACTATGGTAAAAAAAATAACACAAATAAAATAAGGAACGGGCTATCTTGCCATTTTTCTGGACCTTTTCTATGTCCCATGCAGGAGAAAAGGAAAATATGCAGTGAACTTATACTTTTCACGACTGTATATAGTAAATAGATCGCAATCAAGTCCCAGTTTTGAAATAACAAGATAAATTCTTCCCCTGTTGGTTTGCCAAGATATTTTTGTGTGAACGATAGCTTTGTACAAGTTTATATTTTTTCTTGGGATCATTGGAAATATGTTTGTCTGGGTTCAGTTTTCAGGATTAAATTGCGGGTATAAATTAAAACTTCTGACGAATAAACATCATTATTACTCACCGTCACAGTCTTGCCTTGAAGTATACCCACTCGGTATCCATACGCATCAACATACACTTCTCTCGCGACGGAAGCACTCGGAATCCACGGCAGCCGTTCGTTCTGTACCTCTACGTTGAAGTCCGCAGCAATGCCAAGGTCCTTAACTAGGGTGTACCTGCACCAGCCTTGGAAGTGGTGGTGGTAACCGTCCAGCGTTTTGTGGTGAGGATCTCCGTAGACCATACAGACCGAAGTTGCTGCGAGATAAAACAGGATGTATTGATGATTAATATTTCAAACTTTCAGAAGTAGATGTAGTTCTTCGACGAAGGTTAGAAGGTTAGGTAGTAAGATACCACTCCCACCCCCCCCCACCCGAAAAAAAATCAGTCAACTTGTAATGATGATTTTGGAAACGTTTAGACGTTTCAGGTAACATTACCATCATTCAGTGACACTGGTTATAGATCTCAAGATCAGCAGGTTTATAGCCGAATAAAGGGGTCTCATACATTTTTGATTGTCCAACAAGTAACAAAAGTTAGACGAGGTGAAGCTACCTGAAGCTACCTGAAACCGTTTCCAAAATCATATATAGTTGCTTGATTAACTGTTTTGGCGTAGATATAATTCTCTTTAATCAGACTTTTAGAGACTACTTATAGTTCTCTTTCTTTAACCTTCAAGGAGTAGATATAATTCATTTTACTTAATTACATCATAGAAAGCATTTTCTTAATACATACCGTCATATTATGAAACTTACTATTACACCATGCATACTGAGCTGAATCCCTCTTATTTCAGTAATAAAGATATCCACCCACATATTTTGGAATCCAAATAGATTACTACCCCAAAAACAATACTTCCAAGATAGGGTGAATGCTAGAAAAGGAAACAGACGTATAGATTATGATAGATGCAAATACTTACTTATATCACAGATGCGGCCGCTAAATCCAGGAGCACACACACAGACGAATGTGTTGTCACCCTGGTTACATGTCGCTCCATTCTGACAAGGGTTCGGGTCACAGTAATCTATTTCTATTGGTAAGTGGGGAAAATAATGAGACAAAATGTTATGCAAATCATAATAAATATTATTACTTTATCGATTAGGAAGATTTATTTGTACATCAGAATATATGATGTGTTTACGTAATGTCTTTTGTATAATTACAGTATGTTATTGTTTCTCTTAAAATTCTTTGCACATGAAATGAAAAATACACAATAAGAATAGAAAACGAGCTTTGCCCAGATGAAGACTTCTTATATTTCATGTAATCATAAATTATTTACAAATCATTCAATAGATGTTCAAAAGAAGAACTGTAACAGTAACACTTGCAAAAAAAACTCATTATAAGCCTAACTTTTTTTTCAATTCTGATAAATAATTACAAGTGACATATCCTTAGTGTCGTGCAATATGTAAGGTCTAACGTTTAACTGTACCTACGATCTTGTAAATTGATATTTTTGACACACGGACTGTTTAAAAATTAGGATTAAAAAAACACGCACCTGTTTCGCACAAAATGCCCTCAAATCCACGTTCGCAGGTACAAGTTCCGTCATCGTTGCATGTGCCTCCATTTTGACATGGGTTAGGGTTGCACTTGTCTTCACTGTCATCAACAGAAGTAGATGAATCACTTTCATCCACATCTTCCGAAGATGAAGCATCAACTTCGTCGGAGGAAGGCGTGTCAATTTCATCCTCATCCTCGGAAGTGGACACTTCGCTTTCGTCCTCGTCTTCTGACGTGAATGTGCTACTGTCATCGTCTTCGCTAGGCATGGTGGCATCGCTGTTGTCTTCAACGTTGGACGAGGAGGCGTTACTGCCATCTTCATCGTCAGACGTAGAGTCGTCGGTCTCATCTCCATTTTCGGAAGTGGAAACGCCGCTTTCACTATCTTCAGCCGGGATATCGACGTTATCTTCTACTTCTTATTATCAGAAACAAAAACAAAAAAAATCATACTAAATGATTTGCTCCAGATTTTTTTTTGTGTTCTGCACAATCCAAAACTCAAAATGCCTACGGTATTAAATTGTTATTTGTTTAATTATACTTGATTTTGTAACTGACCTAAATCTAACAAGAATATGATTAAAATAAATACCGTTGAGGATAAATGTTATAAAAAAGACTTACCGTTTTCACACCAGTATCCTTCATATCCCGGACTGCAGGAACACTCGTAGTAGAAACCATCAGCAGTGCACCTGCCTCCATTCAAACATGGGTTGGGCGAACAGGCGATATTACCGTAATCATAACTATCATCGTCGGAACTCGTTGTACTACTGTCCTCCTCATCGTTTAGCTGACTGGTGTCACTTTCAACGTTGTTGGTATAGTCACTGGCTGCACTAGAATCTTCACTCTCAGAGCTGAGGATTTGGCCTTCATTTAAACTGCTAGAGTCACTAGACACAAGTTCGATAGAGTTGCGTACGTTGTCTTCGTCAGTTGACATGCTTGATTCAACAGCGTCACTAATGACCCCTTCTTCACCGTCGTAACTTGTGCTGTCTTCCTCTGAGCTTTCGCTATCTATCTCAGTGGACTGACCTGATTCTGAACTTTCGTTGTCTTCCGCAGAGGACTGACCTGATTCTGAACTTTCGTTGTCTTCCCCAGGGGACTGGCTTGATTCTGAACTTTCGTTGTCTCCCTCAGAGGACTGAACTGATTCTGAACTTTCGTTGCCTTCCGCAGAGGACTGGCTTGATTCTGAACTTTCGTTGTCTCCCTCAGAGGACTGACCTGATTCTGAACTTTCGTTGTCTGCCGCAGAGGACTGACCTGATTCTGAACTTTTGAGGTCTTCCGCAGAGGACTGGCTTGATTCTGAACTTTCGTTGTCTTCCTTAGATGACTGACCTGATTCTGAACTTTCGTTGTCTTCCTCAGAGGACTGACCCGATTCTAAACTTTCATTGCCTTCCGCAGAGGACTGACCTGATTCTGAACTTTCGCTGTCTAGGTCAGAGGACTGACCTGATTCTGAACTTCCGTTGTCTTCCGCAGAGGACTGGCTTGATTCTGAACTTTCGTTGTCTTCCGCAGATGACTGACCTGATTCTGAACTTTCGTTGTCTTCCGCAGAGGACTGACCTGATTCTGAACTTTTGTGGTCTTCCGCAGAGGACTGACCTGATTCTGAACTTTCGTTGTCTTCCGCAGAGGACTGGCTTGATTCTGAACTTTCGTTGTCTCCCTCAGAGGACTGACCTGATTCGGAACTTTCGTTGTCTGCCGCAGAGGACTGACCTGATTCTGAACTTTCGCTGTCTAGGTCAGAGGACTGACCTGATTCTGAACTTCCGTTGTCTTCCGCAGAGGACTGGCTTGATTCTGAACTTTCGTTGTCTTCCGCAGGGGACTGACCTGATTCTGAACTTTCGTTGTCTTCCGCAGAGGACTGGCTTGATTCTAAACTTTCGTTGTCTCCCTCAGAGGACTGACCTGATTCTGAACTTTCGTTGTCTTCCGCAGAGGACTGACCTGATTCTGAACTTTCGTTGTCTTCCGCAGAGGACTGGCTTGATTCTGAACTTTCGTTGCCTCCCTCAGAGGACTGACCTGATTCTGAACTTTTGAGGTCTTCCGCAGAGGACTTGCTTGATTCCGAACTTTCGTTGTCTTCCTCAGATGACTGACCTGATTCTGAAATTTCGTTGTCTTCCTCAGAGGACTGACCTGATTCTGAACTTTCGTTGTCTTCCGCAGAGGACTGACCTGATTCTGAACTTTCGCTGTCTAGGTCAGAGGACTGACCTGATTCTGAACTTTCGTTGTCTTTCGCAGAGGACTGGCTTGATTCTAAACTTTCGAGGTCTTCCGCAGAGGACTGACTTGATTCTGAACTTTCGTTGTCTTCCTCAGATGACTGACCTGATTCTGAACTTTCATTTTCTTCCGCAGAGGACTGACCTGATTCTGAACTTTCGCTGTCCAGGTCAGAGGACTGACCTGATTCTGAACTTTCGTTGTCTTCCTCAGATGACTGACCTGATTCTGAACTTTCGTTGTCTTCCTCAGAAGACTGACCTGATTCTGAACTTTCGTTGTCTTCCGCAGAGGTCTGGCTTGATTCTGAACTTTTGAGGTCTTCCGTAGAGGACTGACTTGATTCTGATATTTCGTTGTCTCCCGCAGGGGACTGACCTGATTCTGGACGTTCAGTGTCTCCCGCAGGGGACTGACCTGATTCTGAACTTTCCTTGTCTTCCGCAGAGGACTGACCTATTTCTGAACTTTCGTTGTCTCCCGCAGGGGACTGACCTGATTCTGAACTTTCGTTGTCTCCCGCAGGGGACTGACCTGATTCTGAACTTTCCTTGTCTTCCGCAGAGGACTGACCTGATTCTAAACTTTCCTTGTCTTCCGCAGAGGACCAACTTGATTCTGAACTTTCGTTGTCTCCCTCAGAGGACTGATTCGATTCTGAACTTCCGTTGTCTTCCTCAGAAGCCTGACTCGATTCCGAGCTCCCTTTGTCTTCCTCAGTGGTTTGACTTGATTCTGAACTTTCGTCGTCTCCCTCAGAGGACTGACCTGAATCTGAACTTTCGTTGTCTCCCGCAGGAGACTGACCTGACTCTGAACTTTCGTTGTCTTTCTCAGATGACTGACCTAATTCTGAACTTTCGCTGTCTAGGTCAGAGGACTGACCTGATTCTGAAGTCTCGTTGTCTTCGGTAGAGGACAGACTTGATTCTGAACTTTCGTTGTCTCCTTCAGAGGACCGATCTGATTCTGAACTTTCGTTGTCTCCCTCAGAGGNCGTTGTCTCCTTCAGAGGACCGATCTGATTCTGAACTTTCGTTGTCTCCCTCAGAGGACTGACCTGATTCTGAACTCTCGTTGTCTTCCGCAGAGGACTGGCTGATTCTGAACTTTCCTTGTCTTCCGCAGATGACTGACCTAATTCTGAACTTTCGCTGTCTAGGTCAGAGGACTGACTTGATTCTGAACTTTCATTGTCTTCCGCAGAGGACTGGCTTGATTCTGAACTTTCGTTGTCTTCCTCAGATGACTGACCTAATTCTGAACTTTCGCTGTCTAGGTCAGAGGACTGACCTGATTCTAAACTTTCGTTGTCTTCCGCAGAGGACTGGCTTGATTCTGAACTTTCGAGGTCTTCCGCAGAGGACTGGCTTGATTCTGAACTTTCGTTGTCTTCCTCAGATGACTGACCTGATTCTGAACTTTCGTTTTCTTCCGCAGAGGACTGACCTGATTCTGAACTTTCGCTGTCTAGGTCAGAGGACTGACCTGATTCTGAACTTTCGTTGTCTTCCTCAGAGGACTGACCTGATTCTGAACTCTCGTTGTCTTCCGCAGAGGACTGGCTTGATTCTGAACTTTTGAGGTCTTCCGCAGTGGACTGGCTTGATTCTGAACTTTCCTTGTCTCCCTCAGAGGCTTGCCCTGATTCTGAACTTTCGTTTTCGTTCTCATTGGCATGAGTTGATTCCAAACTTTCGTTGTCTTCCGCAGAGGATTGGTTCGATTCTGAACTTTCGTTATCTCCCTCAGAGGACTGACCTGATTCTGAACTTTTGTTGTCTTCCTTAGATGACTGACCTAATTCTGAACTTTCGCTGTCTAGGTCAGAGGACTGACTTGATTCTGAAGTCTCGTTGTCTTCGGCAGAGGACAGACTTGATTCTGAACTTTCGTTGTCTCCTTCAGAGGACCGATCTGATTCTGAACTTTCGTTGTCTCCCTCAGAGGACTGACCTGATTCTGAACTCTCGTTGTCTTCCGCAGAGGACTGGCTCGATTCTAAACTTTCGTTGTCTACCTGAGAGGATTGACCTGATTCTGAACTTTCGTTTTCGTCCTCACTGCCTTGAGTTGATTCCGAACTTTCGTTGTCTTCCGCAGAGGACTGGCTCGATTCTGAACTTTTGTTTTCTCCCTCAGAGGTTTGACCTGATTCTGAACTTTCGTTGTCTCCCTCAGTGGACTGACCTGATTCTGAACTCTCGTTGTCTCCCTCAGGAGACTGACCTAATTCTGAACTTCCGTTGTCTCCCCCACTGCCTTGACTAGATTCTAAACTTTCGTTGTCTCCTTCAGAGGACTGATCTGATTTTGAACTTTCGTTGTCTCCTTCAGAGGACTGATCTGATTCTAACCTTTCGTCGTCTCCCTCAGGTGACTGACCTGATTCTGAACTCTCGTTGTCTTCCGCAGAGGACTGGCTCGATTCTGAACTTTCGTTGTCTCCCTCAGTGGACTGACCTGATTCTGAACTCTCGTTGTCTCCCGCTGAGGACTGGCTCGATTCTAAACTTTCGTTGTCTCCCTCAGAGGCTTGCCCTGATTCTGAACTTTCGTTTTCGTTCTCATTGGCATGAGTTGATTCCAAACTTTCGTTGTCTTCCGCAGAGGACTGGTTCGATTCTGAACTTTCGTTATCTCCCTCAGAGGACTGACTTGATTCTGAGCTTTCGTTGTCCCCCTCAGAGGACTCACCTGATTCTGTACTTTCGTTGTCTCCCTCAGAGAATTGACTTGATTCTAAACTTTTGTTGTCTTCATCAGAGGACTGACCTGAATCTGAACTCCCGTTTTCGTCCTCACTGGCTTGAGTTGATTCCGAACTTTCGTTGTCTCCCTCAGAGGACTGACTTGATTCTGAGCTTTTGTTGTTTCCCTCAGAGGACTGACCTGATTCTGAACTCCCGTTGTCTTCCGCAGGAGACTGACCTAATTCTGAACTTCCGTTGTCTTCCCCACTGCCTTGACTTGATTCTAAACTTTCGTTGTCTTCCGCAGAGGACTGGCTCGATTCTGAACTTTCGTTGTCTCCCTCAGTGGATTGACCTGATTCTGAACTTTCGTTGTCTTCCGCAGGGGACTGACCTAATTCTGAACTTCCGTTGTCTTCCCCACTGCCTTGACTTGATTCTGAACTTTCGTTGTCTCCCTCAGTGGACTGACCTGATTCTGAACTTTCGTTGTCTCCCGCAGGGGACTGACCTGATTCTGAGCTTTCGTTGTCTTCCGCAGAGGACTGGCTTGATTTTGAACTCTCGTTGTCTTCCGCAGAGGACTGGCTCGATTCTGAACTTTCGTTGTCTCCCTCAGAGGACTGACCTGATTCTGAACTCTCGTTTTCGTTCTCACTTGCTTGAATTGATTCCGAACTTTCGTTGTCTTCCGCAGAGGACTGGTTCGATTTTGAACTTCCGTTATCTCCCTCAGAGGACTGACTTGATTCTGAGCTTTTGTTGTCCCCCTCAGTTGACTGACCTGATTCTGAACTCTCGTTGTCTTCGGCAGAGGACAGACTTGATTCTGAACTTTCGTTGTCTTCCGCAGAGGACTGACCTAATTCTGAACTTCCGTTGTCCCCCTCAGAGGACTGGCTCGATTCTAAACTTTCGTTGTCTCCCTCAGAGGATTGACTTGATTCTAAAATTTTGTTGTCTTCATCAGAGGACTGACCTGATTCTGAACTCTCGTTTTCGTCCTCACTACCTTGAGTTGATTCCAAACTTATGTTGTCTCCCTCAGAGGACTGACTTGATTCTGAGCTTTCGTTGTCTCCCTCAGAGGACTGACCTGATTCTGAACTCTCGTTTTCGTCCTCACTGGCTTGAGTTGATTCCGAACTTTCGTTGTCTTCTGCAGAGGACTGGCTCGATTCTGAACTTTCGTTTTCTCCCTCAGAGGTTTGACCTGATTCTGAACTCTCGTTGTCTCCTTCAGAGGACTGATCTGATTCTGAACTTTCAATGTCTCCCCCAGAGGACTGACCTGAATCTGACCTCTCGTTGTTTTCGGCGGAAGACGGACTTGATTCTGAACTTTCGTTGTCTCCTTCAGAGGACTGATCTGATTCTGAACTTTCGTTGTCTCCTTCAGAGGACTGATCTGATTCTGAACTTTCGTTGTCTCCTTCAGAGGACTGATCTGATTCTGAACTTTCGTTGTCTCCTTCAGAGGACTGGCCTGATTCTGAACTTTCGTTGTCTCCCACAGTGGACTGACCTGATTCTGAACTTTCGTTGTCTCCCTCAGAGGATTGACTTGATTCTAAACTTTTGTTGTCTCCCTCAGAGGACTGACCTGATTCTGAACTCTCGTTTTCGTCCTCACTGGCTTGAGTTGATTTCGAACTTTCGTTGTCTTCCGCAGAGGACTGGCTCGATTCTGAACTTTCGTTATCTCCCTCAGAGGACTGACTTGATTCTGAGCTTTCGTTGTCCCCCTCAGAGGACTGACCTGATTCTGAACTCTCGTTGTCTTCGGCAGAGGACAGACTTGATTCTGAACTTTCGTTGTCTTCCGCAGAGGACTGACCTAAATCTGAACTTCCGTTGTCTTCCTCAGAGGACTGACTTGATTCTGAACTTCCGTTGTCTTCCGCAGAGGACTGACTTGATTCTGAACTCTCGTTGTCTCCCTCAGAGGACTGGCTTGATTCTGAGCTTTCGTTGTCTCCTTCTGAGGACTGACCTGATTCTGAACTTTCGTCAACTTCCGAGCTGGCTTTGCCATCTTCAGAAGAAGAGACCGTTTCGTCACTAGTGTCGTTATTGTCAGAGCTGGCGGTGCCATCTTTAGTTGAAGAGTCCAATATGTCACTAGTGTCGTCATCTTTGGAGCTAACGTTGTCATCTTCAGAAGAAGAGTCTGTTACGTCACTAGTGTTGCCATTTTCGGAGCTTGTGGTATCATCTTCAGTAGAAGAGTCCAAAACGTCACTAGTGTCGCCACCTTCAGAGCTGGCTGTGCCATCTTCAGAAGAAGAGTCCGCCACGTCACTAGTGTCTTCACCTCTTGTGCCATCTTCAGTAGAGGAGTCCGATAAATCACTAGTGTCGTCACCTCCGGTGCCATCTTCAGAAGAAGAGTGTGTTACGTCACTAGTGTCGTCACGTCCGATGACATCTTCAGGAGAAGAGTGTGTTACGTCACTAGTGTCGTCACCTCCGGTGCCATCTTCAAGAGAAGAGTTCGTTACGTCACTAGTGTCGTCACGTCCGGTGCCATCTTCAGGAGAAGAGTCCGTTACGTCACTAGTGTCGTCACCTCCGGTGCCATCTTCATGAGAAGAGTTCGTTACGTCACTAGTGTCGTCACCTCCGGTGCCATCTTCAGGAGAAGAGTTCGTTACGTCACTAGTATCGTCATCTCCGGTGCCATCTTTAGAGGAAGAGTCCGTTACGTCACTACTGTCGTCACCTCCGGTGCCATCTTCAGGAGAAGACTCCGTTGCGTCACTAGTGTCGTCACCTCCGGTGCCATCTTCAGGAGAAGACTCCGTTACGTCACTAGTGTCGTCACCTCCGGTGCCATCTTCAGGAGAAGAGTCCGTTACGTCACTAGTGTCGTCACCTCCGGTGCCATCTTCAGGAGAAGAGTCCGTTACGTCACTAGTGTCGTCACCTCCGGTGCCATCTTCAGGAGAAGAGTCCGTTACGTCACTAGTGTCGTCACCTCCCTTGCCATCTTCAGGAGAAGAGTTCGTTACGTCACTAGTGTCGTCACCTCCGGTGCCATCTTCAAGAGAAGAGTCCGTTACGTCACTAGTGTCGTCACCTCCGGTGCCATCTTCAGAGGAAGAGTCCGTTACGTCACTGGTGTCGTCACCTCCGGTGCCATCTTCAGAGGAAGAGTCCGTTACGTCACTGGTGTCGTCACCACCGGTGCCATCCTCAGGAGAAGAGTCCGTTACGTCACTAGTGTCGTCACCTCCGGTGCCATCTTCAGGAGAAGACTCCGTTACGTCACTTGTGTCGTCACCACCGGTGCCATCTTCAAGAGAAGAGTCCGTTACGTCACTAGTGTCGTCACTTCCGGTGCCATCCTCAGGAGAAGACTCCGTTACGTCACTAGTGTCGTCACCTCCGGTGCCATCCTCAGGAGAAGACTCCGTTACGTCACTAGTGTCGTCACTACCGGTGTTATCTTCAGGAGAAGACTCCGTTACGTCACTAGTGTCGTCACTTCCGGTGCCATCCTCAGGAGAAGACTCCGTTACGTCACTAGTGTCGTCACCTTCGGTTCCATCTTTAGAGGAAGAGTCCGTTACGTCACTGGTGTCGTCACCTCCGGTGCCATCTTCAGGAGAAGAGTCCGTTACGTCACTTGTGTCGTCACCTCCGGTTCCATCTTCAGAAGAAGACTCCGTTACGTCACTAGTGTCGTCAGCTTCGGAACTGGTGGTGTCACTTCCATCGTCATTTTCACTTTCTTCAAGTTCTTTAAAAATAAAAATTATTAATATTTCTTTGACTACAATCTGATAATTGTGTGTAATTACTTAGCAAGTATTTGGGGGTATGGGTGCTTTAAAATCTACTATTTTTTCTCCACAATATATCTAGTGCAATATATGTTAATTTACTTTTTTTTATAGATACAAATGTGATGTGTAAGATAAAATGTCTAGTATTAACCCTACCTAGACCGGGCTTTTTTTGACATGGGGGGACC